CTGTGTGCTTCCTGCCGGCAGGGTGCAGAGACGTGTGCTGGTGACTTGTATGTACGGGGGCCTGAGATCCGAGGCTCGGGCGTGTGCGTTGGCTCTGCTCTCGGCCAGGCCTTGCAGGGGTGTGCGGGGCTCCGGGCTCAGGGCTCAGGGCTCAGGGCTCCGGGAAGAACCTCGCACCTCACTGAGGCCTCCAAACATGTGGGGTGAAAGGAGCTGGACCCCCAGGTGCGGCCCTTGGTGACCTCAGGGGCGTTCCCTGCCCCCGAGGCCTCCGCTCCCCGTCCACCCTGCTGGCCGTGGTCACTGCGGCCGGACCACAGAGGGTCCGGGCCGTAGCGTGAGGCACGGGGGTGTGGGCGTCTGCAGATGTGACCCAGATCGTGGTACGTGTCACTGCTTCTCGAAATGAGCGTCCGCAGAGCCGGGAGGCCGCTCCGACAGTGCGGGGCCGAGAGTTACACCGGGCAGCACGCGAGGCAGGCGCACAGCTCGAGGGGCCGGCACCAGGAGGGCACGTGGCCGCCCTGCGTGGAGGACCCCGGGCCGGGGCGGGTCAGCTCGGGCCCGTGGAGGCCGATGTGTCGGCCCAGCTCCTGCTCCTCCCTCAGCGGCCTCGGGCCCCGGGTGCAATCGCTCCATCCCCTGGAGTCCCAGGAACGGGGCGGAACTGAAATGACCAGAGACACGGGTGACCGTTCCCGAAGAGCCCTCCTCAGTGGCGCCCCCAGGAGGCGGTGAGCCAGCCCTGAGTCCAGCCCTGTCTGTCTTTGTGCACGGACAGCGTGGGCAGCGTCCAGCGGCCTCCGGACTCTCTGTGATGCCAACACTCTGGAACCAGAAGTGATGATGATACCGACGGGGCGATGGCCAGAGGGGGCTGAGGCCAGGACCCGGTGTCCAGACACTTGGCGGTGGACGCATGGCTCCGGCCCTCGTCACGCCGTCCGCCGTCTCCCGGGGCCTGGACTCCGTGGGGCAGGCAGTCACCACGAGAAGAGTCCGACGCACCAGACGGCGTGGCCGGGCAGGGCAGTCTCGGTCTCGGTGTTGATGGTGGTTGTCCTCGGGGCGCCGGGCTCTGGGGACCCCAGCACAGCCACTTCGCGTTCCTCCTTGAACCCCTGATGGGGGGGACTCTGGCGGGGCCCAGGGGCGGCGGCTGGGAACTGTGTTCATGCTGTCAGCAGGTGCGGGTGTTGCCCAGGTCCCGGGACAGCGTGTCCTCCGTCGGTGTTTCCTTTCCCGGGTCGTCTGACTTCTCCCCAGCCCCGTTCTGCTCCGGCTGCTCACATCATGTTTGCCCCTGAGCTTTTAGGGTGCTTTTTCATGGAGGGAGGGCCTGAGCCCGTGGGGAGGGAGGACGCTGCAGCCACACGGGGGTGGTGCCTTTGCTCAGGACAGCAGGTCACGACCTCTCCTCCTCCCCCAGCCCCGCTGTCTGCTCTCGTCTCCGCCCCCGCGGGGACACCTCCCAGCATGCCGAGTGCCTCTCGTGCCCACAGGCAGTGTCGTCACACTGATGACCCAAATATGACCCAAACCAGCCCAGTGCACCTGGTGAGCCTCACACGAGAAATGGCTCATGTGTGTGTCAGCGAAGCACACGCAGACCCCTGGCGCCGAACACCTGGGGGTGGGGTCCGGGCGCCCTGGGAGCAAAGGCTGCAGGGGCAGCTGAGGCAGGGGGGACGCCCGATGTCCACACGGACTGCGGAGGGCGACCAGAGTCCGCCGTCCTCACGGGCCTGCCCCAGGCCGCCCTGTGGACGGAGCCCTTCCTCTGGGGGCCGTCCACCCACGCTGGTCACCTGCCCAACATCATTCTTCTCGTCCTCTGCCTCTTTGTTCGCGGGACCCCTGACTCGTTCCCTCATCTGTCCAGGGAAACCCTGCCGAGGGGCTCGGTGCAGAAGGGCCCTGAACAGACGCGGGGGTCGTGGTCGAAGTGCCCCTCAGCCTTGGAGACGGAGACAGTGGACCAGCCAGGTCTGCCTGCGGCTGTGTGTCCCCAGGTGATGTGCTCAGCCTCTCTGGTCCTCGTTCTCACACTGAAACATGTACAGGCCGCGACCGCCGGACACATGCTGTGAGGACAGGCGGTGAGGAAACCACGGAGCCTCCGTCTCCCCAAGAGGCCCAGGCTCACGGCCTCGGACAGCAGCTCCCGGGGAGCGGGCGGCACTGTGTGACCTTGCAGGTGACCTCGGGGAAGGCAGGAGGTCCGTTCCCCCTGGTGGCACCACTTGCATCCCGTGCGCCTGACACGCCCTCGGCTGCGGCCACGGAGGCCGTCGTGCAGGTGGATTCAGTGTGACCAGGGGGAGCACAGGACACAGCCACACCGGCCACACGTGAAAGAGCACCGCTGTGGCTGAGCCTCGTGTGCGGTCAGTCCCATGGCGTGGACGCAGCCAGTGCTGTGTGTGGGCGGCGAGACCCGGCGGGAGTCACACCGGGAAGGGCGGCTTCTCCGACGGAGACTGAGACCCCTGGCGGCACTCGGATGTGGGGGGGGGCTTCCCAGACGCTCCGGCCAGGGCACGTTTCTGTCTCTGCTAAGAAGCCAGGGCGGAGGTTGGACACCACGGCCGACAGGTGTGCTCACCTCACCTGTGGTCCCTGCGGCCTGGCCTCCGGGCCGAGCTGCGGTCCGTGTGCACGGTGAGCACAGAGGCTCAGCGCAGGGCCCAGGTGCCGGAGGCCGAGCGCAGACCCGGCCGAGCTGCTGTCCCCACGCACCAGGCTCAGGCGGCCGGTCCTCGACTTCACTCAGGTGGGGCGGAGGACGAGGTCTGAGAAGTGTTCCCGTGAGTGTCTTCCGGCCCAGGCAGGGAAGGTGGGGGGCTGCCGCTGTGGGCGGGCACCTGGTTTGAGGCTGTTCGAGCAGGATGTGCCTTGTGCACGCGGGGCGTCCGGGCGGCGACGCACAGGCTGCCCGGTGCCTGTCCGGACCGAGGGTCACACGCTGGACCCACATTTCAGCTGAGAAGACTAAGCCCGGCGGGCGAGGCAGGCGACGGGTCCAGGTGTCAGCAGGCACAGGTGGGCTTCTCGGTTCACAGTGAACCCCAACTGGAGCCTGGACGCCCCACCCTCCCCCAGCTCGTGTCGTCCAGCCCTGCTCCCTGCTCCTGGCCTCGGGCTGCTCAGGGAGCCGTCTGCACACGGGAGGGCGTCCGGTGGGCACAGCCCCGCACACTCCTGCCGGCCTGGCTGCCTCTCCTGAGCTGCGCTCACACTGGCCACTCGGCGTCGCCGTCCCCCGCGTCCACGCTCGCTCTGAGACCCTGCGCTTGGCTGCGTCCGGTGTAGACGGCGAGACCGAGCGAGGGCTCGTGTGGCTGATGCTCCTGACTCCATCCCCACCCAGCGCGAGACGCTGTCAAGGTGAGACGCTGGCCACGTGGCTGCGGTCTCCATGGCAACTGCGCTCAGAGCTGCCTGTCGCGTCTCGTTGTGTCTGCACCACACCGCGCACAGCCAGCGGGCTCAGTGTCTCGGGGTGTCCGTCCAGGACGCACGGACGTGAGGGGCGGAGGTGCTGTCCAGGCCCAGGTGGGCGAGTCCTGCGCAGCCGTGTGATTAGACCTTTTGTGAAACGCTCGACGCAGGTCAGACGCCACACGTGTGAGAGTCTGTTACATATGCAGAACGTGGTCGTACTTTCAGAAACGGTGACTGAAGAGAGACCTGCTTCCTCCGCACCCTCCACAGAGACCTCGGCTCCCTCCCTGTGAGCTCACTGGTGTGTCAGGTGGGGGGGGGCAGGTGTGGGCACCACGTGCTGGACTCTCCCCGCCGGGCCCCAGCTGGGCTCACTGTCCAGTGTCACTAGCAGGAGTCGTGTGGACCACGGTCTCAGACCCACTCATGATGGCGGAAAGTCTGCATAACACACGTGTAGAGTGGAACAAGGACCTGTACTGATATTTGCATGACAAAGAACACAGTGGGATGCATGTATGATGAAATCCTGTCTGTGTCCATGTGGAGACGTGTCACATGTACAGTGAAACCCCATCTGTGTCCATGTGGAGACATGTGTCACATGTATGATGAAACCTTGTTTGTCTCTGTGTGGAGACGTGTCACATGTACAATGAAACCTCACCTGTCTCCGTGTGGAGATGTGTTACATGTATGATGGAACCTCATCTGTGTCTGTGTGGAGACACGTGTCACATGTATGATGAAATCCTGTCTGTGTCCATGTGGAGACGTGTCACATGTACAGTGAAACCCCATCTGTGTCCATGTGGAGACACGTGTCACATGTATGATGAAATCCTGTCTGTGTCCATGTGGAGACGTGTCACATGTACATTGAAACCCCATCTGTGTCCATGTGGAGACACGTGTCACATGTATGATGGAACCTCATCTGTGTCTGTGTGGAGACACGTGTCACATGTACTGTGAAACCCCGTGTCTGTGCAGAGACCAGCAGCCTGCATGTCTCGTGCTGGATCCTGGGGTGCTGGTGCCCGGGCACAGCAGTGCCGCAGCCCAGTGGGCCCAGAGGGCAGGTGCCGGTCAGGAGACGTCCTGAGTGACCCACACCTTCTCCGGGCAGGAGGAGAGATTTGTGTTTGTGACAAGGGGACCTGACATGAATTGATATTAAGCATTAAAAGAGGGCAGGAAGCTTTGAATGTTGGGGTGAGGCCCCTGACAGGGCCGGCTCCCCAGGCAGCACGGGGTGGCCCGCCGTACGGTGCTGGTGCTCCTGGGACCCGCCCAGCGGCAGGCGCAGGGAGGTGGTGCTGGGCCGACAGGAAGGGTGCTGACCTGAGGGAGCGTGAGCCGCCCCCGGAGCAGGACCGAGTGGGCGACACCAGCGCTGAGCACTCGGGGAGGCGCAGACCACCGCTCCGAGCTGCGTGGCGCCAGGGTGCGCGGGCCTCCGGGCGGGGGCATCGTGGGGACAGGGTGACGACGTTCTGGGCGCGACCCGGACACACACTAACGGTGACTCTGTTTCTCTCTTTGCAGACGAAGAGAGCGGGGACCTGGTCCAGCCGGGCATCAGCTTCCCAGGGCCGGCGGAGGAGGATCTAGGTAGGGTCTCTCGGCCCAGCCGGACCTCGGGCTGGGGACCGTCACGTCGGCCTCAGGGGACCTGCCCACCAACACACTCACTCCTGTGTTCCACTCAGAAGAGACCTACGTAAAGTGTGAAATCGAAAAATGTCACGTTGCCCTGGCCGGTGCGGCTCAGCAGAGTGTCGGCCTGTGGACCGAAGAGTCTCGGGTTCGATTCCAGTCTAGGGCACGTGCCTCACTGCGGTCCGGTCTCAGCCCTGGTCGGGTCATGCGGGAGGCAGCCAGTCGACGTGTCCCTCTCTCTCCCCCTCCCACTGTATCTGAAGAGAAATGGAAAGATGTCCTCGAGTGAGGATTAAACAAAAAAATCTTTTAAACGAAAGATTCCTCGCGTGGCAGCCACGTGCGTAAAGCTGTCCTTTTGGACATCGGGGTGTGGCCGTGGCCGCGCTGTGCCGGCTGCCTCTCGGGGCAGAGCGTTGTCCGTGGCGCAGACAGGGAGCCTCTGACGGTGCCTTTGGGGAGGACGCGGCCGTGTGCCCGGCGACGGGGAAGCTTTCTGGGGACTGACCTCACGTCCGTGATGGGCGTGGATGAGTGCGGCACATCTAACCGGCCACGTGGGACAGGGAACGAGGGTTTGGGGCAGAAGTGTCCCGACGGGAGGGGTACAGACACCCGGCCGGGCTGTTTCTGCAAATTGAAACTAGTTTTCAGTTACTGACTTAGGACCTGGGGACTCCTCTCCGTTTCTGGGTGCAGCCCCCCCTCTCCTCAGTGCCGGTTTCAACGAGCACAGTCCCTGGACTTGATGCTGCCAAAGGAGTGCAGTGCCCCCCGTGGGTGCCCTTCCTCGAACGGGGAACGTGCCCGACCCCGTCAGGCCCTGTCAGGCCGCGTCTGTCCTCATTCTTTGGCTGCACCGACAGGAAGCCCTCGGCGGGGTGGTGTGCACACGAGAGCCTCATCCCCCAGTCTGGAGGCTGTGAACCCCAAAGTCAGGCTCTGCCGAGGCCCCTTCCTGGGCCCGGAGGTGTCTTCTCACTGGGTGGGGGCGAGGCGGCCCCAGGCCTCTGTGACGGAAGCAAGGTATTCCCAGGTGTATTTGTACATGCACACACGTGCACACAGTCACACATGTGCACATGGTTGCACACTCGTACACACGTGCACACAGTTACACACATGCACGTGGGTACACACATGCACACGGTTACACACACATGCATGCAGTTACACACATGCATGCACACACGTGCACGCAGTTACACAGTGCACATGGTTACACACTCGTACACACATGCACACGGTCACACACATACACATGGTTACACACACATGCATACGGTTACACACGTGCACATGGTCACACACTCATGCAGACTTGAACAATAACACGTGGCATCGTTATTCCTCCTTCCAAAGCTGCTCCCAGGACATGGCACTGCACTGGGACGCCTCAGACACGTGAATGACGGTCTCACAGTCAAGTGGCCTCGGGGAAGCTGGGGCGCAGGGAAGGGAGGACGGTGTAGACACTGTAATGGCAGAAGACACAGTTCATTTACCCCCTTCTCCTCGTTCAGTGGGTGATTCCTTCTCGTTTCCTTGTGTAACAGTTTATATTCACGACACGGATTTCTAAACTGGGGTTATGGCTCCGTGGGCTGAGATCAAGGGGCTGAGTCACTGCCAGCAAATCTTTAAATGGAAAAATAAATAAAAAGAAAGGACAGGGATGTATAAAATGTACAGAATAAAGAGACCTACACGCATCATACGTAGAATGAGCGTGTGTGTGCGCTAGGTCACCGTGCTAAGTGCACTACGGTGTGTGAGGACGCCTGGACGCTGTGGGCAGGGCGCGCCCTGCAGGGACCGGGGTGGGGGCAGCAATGCTGCGGACGAGGCAGCTGTGCAGCGGACACCGGCGGGCTGAGGGCGGCCCCTGCCTGTGCAGCAACTGGGCGATCTGCCTAATTTCCATGAGCCTTCAGCTCCTGGTTTACGAAGCCCTGGCCGGGTGGCTCGGGGTGGGCAGCCTCCCACACACCGAGAGGTCGTGGGTTCAGTTCCTGGTCAGGGCACATACCTAGGTGACAGGGGTGTTTCCCAGTCGAGGCGAGTACAGATGGCAGCCGATTGATATTTCTCTCCCTTCTTCTCTCTCTAAAATAAAATTTAAAAATCATCAAATTTGCTATACAATGAACGCCTGCACCCTGGCCGGTTTGGCTCAGCGGTTAGAGCATCGGCCTGCAGACCAAAGAGTCACGGGTTTGATTCCAGCCAAGGACACGTACCTCAGTTGCGGCTTGTCTCTGGCCCTGGTCGGGGCCCTGCAGGAGGCAGCCAGACGATGTGACCCTCTCACGCCGATGTTTCTCTCCCTCCCTCCCTCCCTCCCTTTCTGTCTGAAGATAAATGGAAACTTCTCCAGTGAGGATTAAATAAAAT